GGATCCGAGGAGCCATCAAAGGTGGGTAAACGATAAGGTGACTCTAAGTGAGGTCGTTGAGGATTAGTCTCAGGTCTAGGTTGATAAGCATAGTGGGGCATCTTCCCACTCACATGACTGAGTGAATGGGGTACGTACCTAGAGTGGGGAGAATCAATATGTTCCTCCTTTGTGATTTTAGTTAGAGAGCCTACAAGACTAACTAGGTCGTCTAACCTCTTTTGAAAACCTATCGTGTCCATTTAAAAGTGTTAAGTTATGCTTAATGAGGAATGGGTATAAGGGACAGCATTAAGACACTAAGTTAGGCTCACTTAGACTCACTACAGGGTGCAGAAAAAGTTCGGACAGCAAGCTACACTAGTGGGTGAAGTAACCTAGGCACTTAGGGAGGTTGCTAAGGCTTGGAAAGCACCTAAATCAGAGGTTAGATCCACTTAAATGCCACCAAACAGTGCAGAATTCTGTGTGGACAGCAAACTACAACATGGCATAAAGTTTTCTAAGTGTTGTGGGCAGTTAAACGGTGTAGTCAGCAACTTAAGACAGGTTCTAGGGTCACCTAAAGGCCACTAATAGGTGCAGCAAATTTCTGGACAGCAAGGTTCAGTCGTTGCCTAAGTTGTTTAGGTGTTTGGAAGGTTCCGAGGGAATGGACAGCACCCAAACAAAGACTAAAAGTTCACTAAACGATGTCTAACAGCTGCTGGAACAGTGAGGACAGCAGTTTTACTTCAAGGTGTAGTTGCTATAGATACTTAGAAGCCTTACAAATAAAAGGCCAGCACTAAGACACTAGTTAATATGACCTAAGTCAACTGGATGCTTGCAGGAATTATAAAAACAGTAGTGAAAAACAGTGAATAAACTTAGATAGGCGATGATATGCATGCAAAAATTAAACAATAACGCAATACTAGACCCTAAGATGTTTTTTTAATATGTCGTGCATGCCTACCATGCTGATACCAAGATGATGTGAAACATATGTGAATGGAGGGTGAATTAGGAACTTGCACGCTTGATCCAAAGAACAATATTATTTAAAAGCTTTAAGTGATAAAACGACGAGATAAAACAAGAGAGCGGTGCCATAAGTTTAGGCTAAGTCACATATATAAAAGTTAAAACCACAAAAGTAATCAATTACTCTTAACGTTGCATGTGAGATAGGTTTCAACAGTGAATCCCTACACTAACAACAAGACTAGTCACTACAAGATGATCCAACACTCAACTCATTAAACTCCAGGATTAAGCGGATAACAATTGACAAGATTTCTTATGAATCAATTAAGCCACAAAATAGAGTAACGATGGAAATAAAGGATTAGGAAAAGAGTCCACCAATTTCAAGTAGTAACCAGCGATGGATGACCTCAAATCAGCCACCTCGTTAATCTACTAGGTCTGGACAGCCGTCTGGAATAAGTATGGAATTCTGGACAGTGTTGGGGCCTCCCAGGTGAGGGTGTGGTGCAAGGAAGCCTGTAGAATTGCTGGACAGCAGCTACGACGTCATCCCGGACAATTATGCTTGCTGAATTTGATACTTGTGGACAGTGGGCTGCAATGGTGATCTCTCCAATTCACTGGACAGCATTTGTAATGGCAGAAAACCTGTAACAACCCTTGGAGGGCTTCGGGACAGTAATCGGGGTGACTTCATGTCACAGAACAGTGAGGAAACTGGGTTGGTTCTTCTTGGCAGCAAGCTGAGAAGGGG